TACCTTCCATTAGCCATTAATTATGGTTTATTTTCGACTAGGCTTGGCCTTGTTCACTGGACTGAAAATGCAGCTCAAAGTTTTCAGACCGAAAGCTATCCTACAGATCTTTGCTCCCTTGATGGAAGGGACCACTCTTGTGGGAAGTGTCATACTGTCCCCTTCATCTGTTTCATGCAGATGACAGTAGCATGTCAGTTCATACACCGCCAGTAGGCTCCACCATACAGTTTCTATATCCCCTGTCTTCCACATCTCTGGTCACAGAACTAAAACATATGCCAGTGCCTTCTTGCCAAGAAGGGACGGGGTCATTCATGATGTCCCCAGTGCCAATGAGCACCATGAGAGATGCTGCATATCCTTGCGCCCCATACCATAAGGTACGCTCTGACAACAGTGCAGCACAGGCCTAATTTAATTGTGCTTTTACTGAACACATAATGGAACCACAATCTACATTTGGTCATCTGAAAGACACTGGGCTGCGTGGTACAGATGCTGTGCAAAAGTTTCCAACACCTTCCAAATTCAGGGTACAACTTTTAGTCTGAACCATCTGTGAGGACATCCTTGAGACCTTCCTTCAGACTGAAATACTGAGCATATCTTCTGCAGTACCCATACACACAGCTCTCCACTTTCTTTGTCACAGGTGAGGCATCCAGCAACGCACTTGTGTCAGGACTTTGTCTGTTCCTCCACTGAAGGCAGTCATCAACCCACTGAGCATTCAGGATTGCATGGAGTGGAATGGGAGGAATACCACTGGACATTAATGTCTTTCAATCTGGCAAATGTTACATAATGATTAAAGAGGAACTGATTCCAAATACTCCTTTCTGTCCTTAGTTTTCCCCTCCTCCACACCTGTACACTTCACACACTCCCTTGCTGCCTGCAATCCATTTATTTTTGGTAAAACCTGGCTAAATCAACTGTGCCTTACCCCAGCCTGCAGTGCCCCTCCCTTTACAATCTTTCCTTAGTGCAACCTGGGGCAGAGGAAGAGATAATATCTTGCCAACAACCACTACCCTAACAACTCCATTTCAAAGAAATGGTATCATCCTGAATGGTATTTGTTGCACAAGCAGCGTGCACAACTGTTCTACAATTTCTTGTGATTGCCAGGCAGGGACAGGATCTGACATGTGGCCGGAAGTACCAGCACCACTGCCACCACTGGGTAGGTCCTTCATGCAGTGCATGTGAGGAGAGGAAGAGACAGTGTGTCTGGGGTTTTGTGCAGGGCTGTGTTATCGAGGCACGCCAAGTTCATGACTTACATGGCTGCCAAGACTATATCTGGCACACAGGCCAAGCTGGGATGGGGCAGATGGTCACTGATGGACATCATTGCTCCACAGAACTTCCCTCACAAGCTCATGGACCCTGGGGAATGGTCTCTCAAGGCAAAGCAGCTCTCACCATCAAGCTGGGGACTCATACGGTCTTTCCACAGCTCTGTGACCACTGCCCTAATTCTACCAGAAACCTCCTAAACATAGTCCCATGCTCAAAACATGTATAGGAAAGGAGTATGCACACTTACTCAGGTGGGCATCCGGACCACTGATTTTGCAGTTCCCATTGCCTGCCCTGGCAGAGAGTGGGCCAAGCCGATGTTTCTGCGTGGTGTTTTGCAGGGGTCCTCTGGAGGTTGCAGGCGTGTAGATGTGTGCAGCACCATTGCCATGTTTTTCCCTGGACTGTGGATCCTTGGACCAAGTATGTGGATGTCCTTGGGATGTCTGTGCATGCGCAGTGGCTTTGGCAGAGTGCTCTTCCCTCCCCTGCCGATTTCTTCAAAATGTCTGTGATAGTGGCACATGCACTGTGCCACCTCTGAAGCATGGTTTTCCCATGTCATGAAGAACGTGGTTTTCATCTACTTGAATGAATGCAGCACTGCTTGTCAGTCCTCTGCCACTTGGCAGCAGCCTTGACATTAGCAATAGCATGGTGCATCTATTGGAGAAACTTTTGCGCCTTTCAGAGCACATGCTGTCAAGCTCCACGTTGCCCCTTGCTCAATATTCTGGGAGGCCAATGCAACGGTTGTCACTATTGCAAAAGGCAGCAGTAGGAAAGAAGGAATTATTTAATAATGGTATATCATTCATAAAGGTGGCAGCAAAAGAAACAGGGCTGGTAAAGAGGAGAAAAGCCAAAGCTTGGAAGAAATAAAGGAGCAACCGAAAGTCAGAAGAAGCAGACGTCTGGTGGTCATTAGCAATTACGAAGTTGCACACAGCACTTGGCCTTTTTGCACAGCATGAGAAGTACTTCAGAATAAGGTGGGAGCTCTTGCCAGTTTTAAAGCTTTTTGTTGGCACATGTACTTTTCATTAGCTCTGGAGAATTTCGCAGCAGTGCAGTCCCACTCATTGGATCCTACAATTTTATTCCAAGAGGCAAAGCTTCTGTTTCAGCTTTCTCTAAAAATGTCATTCATATGTCTAAAACCACTCTGTGAACCAAACCAATAAGCAAGGACAATCAGAGGACTTATTTCAGAACTGCACTACTGCTGCGATTCGAAATATTATGTAGATGCATCCCTAATGACCATTGCTTTTCTGGACTTGAGGATTCTTGATCTACTTCAAGAGGTGTCTTCTGCTTTTGAGAATCCCACTTTAAGTTTACAGAGTGAACTTCGAGCAGCAAAGTATACTTCTAACTTCCAAAACAGCATGCAGGAAGCCACAGTCAGTTCTCTAGTGTCTGATGCAGCAGCATCCAAACAATTTTGGAGGCAACCTCAACTTACTACACCTGTCCATGCTTCTTAAGTATTCCCAGGATTCAGAAACATACTTACTCAAAATGCAGGCACAATCCCAGCACCAGCTACCCACAATCAGCAGTTTAGCAGTTCATAACAGTGAAGCACATCTCAACCTATACCAACTTAACTGGTTATGCAAACACCAAAGGATTGTTCTGGTAAAGCTTGCTTCTGAAAACAGTAGCAATCCATTTCTGTTCTAGTATGGTAATCTTCCCTTGTATGGTGTTTTAACAGGAAGATGGAAAAATAATACCCAAATAATACCCAATCATAATACCCATTTCCTTATGCAGAACTTCCGCACTCAGTCTGTCAACCAGTACGACTGCAATCCCAAACACAAGTACAGGCTGGGCAGAGAGTGGCTTGAGAGCAGCCCTGAGGAGAATGACTTGGGGTACTGGTGGATGAGAAGCTCAACATGAGCCAGCAACGTGCGTTTGCAGCCCAGAAAGCCAACCGTATCCTAGGCTGCATCAAGAGAAGCGTGGCCAGCAGGTTGAGGGAGGTGATTCTGCCCCTTTATTTCACTCTCGTGAGACCCCACCTGGAGTACCGCATCCAGCTCTGGAGACCCCAGCACAAGAAGGACATGGACCTGTTGGAGCGGGTCCAGAGGAGGGCCACAAAGATGATCAGAGGGCTGGAGTATCTCTCCTACAAGGACAGGCTAAGAGAGTTGGGGCTGCGCAGCCTGGAGAAGAGAAGGCTCCAGGGTGATCTTACAGCAGCCTTCCAGTACCTGAAGGGAGCCTACAGGAAGGATGGAGAGGAACTTTTCACAAGGGTGTTTAGTGATAGGACAAGGGGGAACGGCTGTAAACTAAAAGAGGGCAGATTTAGATTAGATATTAGGAAGAAATTCTTTACCGTGAGGGTGGTGAAACACTGGAACAGGTTGCCCAGAGAAGCTGTGGATGCCCCCTCCCTAGAAGTGTTCAAGGCCAGGCTGCATGGAGCTCTGAGCAACCTGGTCTAGTGGAAGATGTCCCTGCTCATGGCAGGGGGTTTGGAACTAGATGATCTTTAAGGTCCCTTCCCACCCTTGCCATTCTATGATTCTACGTTTCCACCATGTTACGCTGACTCCCCTGCTCCACAAACACTGGGTACAACAACTCACAATGTCATCAAAGCTTCTTTCGTATGTTTTTTATGCCCTCAGTATACAGTACACTCACTATACTTTTGCAGTTTTTGTATATTCTGCCATGAGTTACCATTAGATTTCCTTTAATGGTTCATACATTTCTAATTACTACTACAAAGCAAAAGAGGTAATCAGCATGCCACGATGGCAGAGCTAAAACAACTTCTGCCTCTAGGAATCCTGAAAAAGACAGAACAATTACTAGGTGAGCTTCACTGCACAGTGCTGGAGAAGCCGGGACACGTCAAGTGAATGCAGGCAACCAAGTCTCAGCATGCTTAAGAGCTAACAATGTCAGTGCTTTTACATAAAATGTCTTTCACTGTCACTGGTGGATACTGGATTCACTCCCTGAAGAATGAAGAAGATGGTTCAAACAACAGTGTATCTTCTTGCCTGGCAATTAGAGAATCAGCAATAACTTCTGAAAAAATAACAACGTACGGTAGCGTCATTGCTTTTTTGAGCATCAAAGTTAGGATGCAGTGTAGGCCACTCTAATTGGACTTGTCTCCTCTCCACCCCACTGAAATTCCTCCCCAAGGGGAAGAACCAAGCCCTGCACGTCACCCGAGTCTTGGCTTCAGGTGCCTTGAGTGGCAGGGGGAGGAAGAGACTAGTCTCCTTAAGAGTTCTGACTCCAACCACAGAGCTCCCAATTGCCTCCAACTCAGGCCCAGTAAGAATCTGCCATCTCCAGACCCGCAAAACACAACATCCTCTCCTAGATCTGTAATAAAGGTAGCCTATCTGCCTGTGGCTGAAGCCTCAGCAACACAGGTACGCTCCACCACCTGTCATTTCTAAGTCTGTTGTTTTGGAGATCCTTGCCCTGCTGATCATCACCAGTCACACAGATGAATTAGACAAGTTTGAAGGACAGTGAACTAAGTTTTCCTGAAGAATTACTGTAATAGACAGGAGAGTATAAACACTGCAGACATACACACAATTTAAATATATATGGCATGAAAAATGGGCAGGCATAAACAGGACCATCAATGGGAGGAGATGCTGCCTTCTCGAAGGTTGGCTTTTTAGAATGGGTCATACCTCATACAAAACTGTAGTATTCCCATGAAGGAGAGGCCCATAGCAAATGTAGGAATGTCCAACAACCCAGCCTAAATCAGAAGCTGCCCACCACACCTAAAATGAAATCAAAGCATAAATATAACAGGGAGCTTTTAAGAGGAGTTCAAAAAAATTTGAATGACATTTAAATAGGATTACCTCACCAGGCTTGAGTCCATATATAGCTGACATTGTCCAGTTCAGCATGACTGCATAGCCACCTGTCGGTCTGACTACACCCTAAACGAGAAAATTCGAATTTTCAAGATCACTTGAAGGATGCAATGATATTCCTATCTTCCAAGAAACATTTGGTTTTTAGTAGTAATAGACTTAAAGTTGCCGAATTCCAATACTCTTCACTTAAGAAAAGGATCCATTCCAACAAGTACATGCTTGTGTTAGCATTCCCACTGAAGATGTAATTTTGGAAAACAAACAAACAAATGAACAAACATAAAATCAAACAAACATAAAAACCCAACCCAAGCTCTAGATGACAATAATTTTCAGCAGATAACAAAGACTAGAATTCTCTCATTAAAATCAGATCTGTAAATATTTAGTCAACATATGTTGACAAAAAATAAGAGATTGAGTATTTACCTCACTTGAACTGTGGCCACCTAAATGCTAGGCATGTTTTAAATTCATTGCCTAGTCTCTCTGTATCATCACTGGAAAACCTGTGGAATACACCTGTGGAGTAGCTAATCCCTACAATAACTGGGGTGAATTACTCCCCAAAATGTACCCCTTTTTCCGCACTGATTCTTTTTAAAGATGACAGAAAATTGGCTTAAACCAGACGTCTGGTTTTGAAAGGTTTAATATCAAGCCTGAAGTAGACAAAGAAAGGCAAAACAAAGAACATCCTGGTCTTGGTCAAAAGGAGAGATTTGAAACTTAGAACAAGAGAATATCAATACCATCATGCACCTTGGGACGCCAAAAACTGGCTCTGGAACACCATTCTTAGGAAAAAAATTTGAAATATTTTGTAATATTTGCATGTTTAATATACATTTCATCATCTTCTTGTACATTGTTTTTAGAATAAAGAATTAAGTAAGTTGTGTCCTGATGTCCAGAACTAAAATTCAGGTTAGACTGATCTGGCCAAACTAATGTCTACAGTGCAGACACTGCAATACAGCTACCTGTCCGTGCTAGACACGGTACATCCTCTTTATGTAGTTAATAGAATGAAATAAGCACTTTCAGGCCTCATCCAAGACACAAGGGACTGTACAGACATATTAACTCATTAAAATGGAGATTGTCATAGCAGAGAATAGTTAACTAAGACTTCATGAATTTCAGAGAGCTGAATGCCTTTGTTAGTCTCAGTTTCTTAGTCCCTGCTCTGAGATTAACAAAAGTTTTATGAAGGTCATAACTGAGTAATTTTACTTGCATGACCATTTAAAAGCAAGTTCCTTAAATTAATAAAAAAGATATTTTACTCATTAAGTTCTTCATTGTAGCTTAGTGCTAGCTGACAATCTCCCTCTTTTAAGGGTGATTCATTCATCAAGGTGTCTATATTTTTCTCTGGAGAGCCAACATAGTGAAGTAAACTTCTGAGAAGTTTTGTCTCTGAGATACCATATTTTGAAACTAACAGTCAAGGAAAATATCTGTTGTAACAAAGGATTTTATCTTGCGCCTTTTGACAATATAATTCAAAAATTCAAGATACATATTTTGCTTTAAAGTGACCATGGCTCAAGGCAAAAGCAGAAGACATTTCTCTCAGCAAAACTGATGTCTGTTTTCCTTATCTGTTCATGGATTTTGAACTTTGTAGGCCACGTCATTAAGTAATTTTCTAGTAGTAGTCTAAGCACTGCCACATCCAGGGATGTGTGACACTGCTTCTGAATTTGTGGTGGTAAGACCACCACCAGAAAGTTACATTCAGCTTGTCTTTTATACTTTAAAAGAGAATTGTAAGTACCCAGCAAAATCTCAGTTTGCTTATAAAGATCCTTCAAAAATAGATAATTAAGACTAATTGATATTTGAAAGCAAACATTTTCAAAGAATACCCTCTGTTAGTTTTCAATTACTCAGTCTAAACTTTCATTTTCATGGGAATTATGTTCTCAGAAATGTTCAGTAACACAAGCCTTCAGTACATGCTTAATTCCATTTAATCTGTAATGTCATTCATTACGTATTATCTATGGGAAGATGTGCTAATATATAAATAATGAATAAGCAAAGACTATTCAGCAAATAAATGCTATCACGAGTGACACATTAACTAATCTTGCCGTTAAGTGACCATACTATTCTTATCTCGAACAGTTAAAACACAGAAGATATTAATGAATAAAAGTCATTCTGCTGTCCGGAAAAGTTTATACTGTACTAACATTCTGAAGTAAGTGCAGTTTATATTACTACTATTCAAATAAACAAGCATAAATTTATTCCCTAGACACTAACTTTAAAGTAGTGAACTATGAATAAATGAGATTAAACCATTTCTAGCAATGCTTATCATTTATAGCACTGAGCTCTGGCAAACACTTTCAACCTTTTTAATTAAGTATTTTCTCAAGTGGAACTGCAACTTGGTTGGTCACAGACACTTCAACAACAGATAGTCCTTTACCTTGGGCAAGCCTGTTGTTCCAGATGTATACAGAATATAAAGTGGATGGTCTGAGGGAACAGAGACACATTTGCAATCATGTGCTTTTGCAAGCTCTTCTTCCCAGTCAAGATCGCGACCTGGGGCAAGAGGAACATGGCCCTGTCCATTGAAAACAGAAAAATGTCAAAAGAAAAACAGATGGAATAAATGAAAGTGGGTAAAAAACATGTACTATTCAATTTTCTCTACAGTACTACTTGACTTTTCTGTAATCTCTCTGCTGTATTAGTTCTATTTACTATTTAAATTTTATGAATATAAAGTTCCCCCATAAAATTCAAAACCAAACTGCAACACACACACCAAAAATTTTACTTGTAAAAGAGAAAAGGCACATGCACTGCATACACATCTGAAAGCTAACATAAAGGCACAATAACTGTACACCCACCAAATTAGGTCGCTTGTAAATGAGAACTTTATCAGGTTTGCTCTGTACTCTTGTCAGTGCTCCTTCTAGGAGGGATACGTATTCCACTTTCCTCTTAGGTTCTACTCCAAAACTTGCTGTTACAACAAGCTTGGGCTAAAATAAAGAAGTTCGATTGTTAATATATACATTTGCAATATATTTTATATATGTAACTCAATAACATGTTTTCCGTGAAAATCTTTGATTAATGAAGCTCAATGTATAAAATCTATCTCCATAAAACTAGAAATAGGGGTTTGGATCATTTTTCTAAGGAAATCAAGCTTATATTATCTTGCGGTCCATGCATCTGCTTTTTGTTCAGGAGCACACTAACAACTTCCGACATTTCACCATTTTCAACCAAATTTGAGCAAGAAATCAAGAGTATCAAGTTCTTTCATGCGCAAAAATTAACAAACAGAGAGAAAAACCCATCTCTTCATAGCCCCTCCATTAAGCAAAAGTGGTAGAGTGATGTCAACAATTACCTGTCCTGTTTAGCCTGCTTTCTAACTACCTGCCTGCACCCAATGGCATATTTCAAAAACAGCCGTAGCACTTTGCTGGCTCTTTTCCAGCCTGCAATTAAATGGCACAGGAGGGAAATTAGGAGAAAGACGAAAAAGAAGGCAAATGAGATGACAGGAAACTAGAAATACAGAAAGAGAATAAGCTGAAGTCATAAGGCACATAAGGGAACTAAAGCTAGAGTCTTTCAAGTGATGGCTGCAAGATTCAAGATGCACTAAAAATCAGATTTCCATTTTTCTGGGATTTTTCTAGCATAATTTCTATTTCCAGATATGGATTTAGCATCTTTGTCATTAAAATAACCTCAGGTTTTATTTACAATTTCCTAAGTCAAGAAATCTTCACACAAACTATTTTGATTTAGGTCCCAAGATCAGTATTTTTATTTCTTGTATTTCAGGAAACAAAAAGTAGGACCAAAAAAATTATGTGTTAGAACACATTTTAACTGGAGAAGAATGAGTCTTCCATTTCCTTACTTTTGGAGTTTTAGAAGTATATTTATCTTATGCCCTTCAGTTTGATCAAGCTAGTTTACTAATTGTATGCATTAGCATAAAACTCATTAAGTAGGCACAAACCACAATGCAACAATTAAGGCTGCATTAAACTCAGCACAGAAAGCACAGATTAAATTGTTTCCTTGTGCAATAATACAATGTTTCCTATCCAAATCTGCCACTCAGGGAAGTTTGCTGATAGTGTGTATTGAAAACAAAATATTTCAGATGAGCTTTAAAATTTCAGCATTTGTCATCTCTCTCTTTTGGGGTGCACTGATTTTAATACAAAATTATAGAATACAATTCAGTTAAACTGAAAATTCATCTGGAGGGTACCCTGAAATTAGACTGTAATTAATGTTAGATATTAACACAGATCTATTCAATTGTTAAGATGAAAGACTGTTGTCAACGCCAGGTTTACAGTCATTTATAAACAGTACCACCGCTGCTCATCAACTGCTTTGTATGTAGTAAGGAAGTCTAAAAATAACCAACACTAAATTGGCTAAGGTGATGTATTTCCCAAGTGAGCATTGCTACTTGGAAGCATCACGGATCACTCTGCGCAGACCAAAGATCCTTTACTGGCTTTAACTGCTGTTTTCTAGTGTTTGACCTGTCTGCCTACTGACGTTCCTCTCCTGCATCTCTGCTCCCATATTGCTTTTCTACACCCATTTCCCACATCTTTTCTGGCTACATGTAGTCCTGATGGATAAGATTACATAGAAATATAACTAGTTTGAAGGAAAATCAGGAAAGTTCAAAGGTTTGCTGGAGAAGGAATGTCAGAGATGTAGAAAAAAACCCAACATGAGTAAGTAGAAATGCGATAAAGCAAAGCCCAGTAGTACCAGACCAATAATTTTATTCTGCTGTAAAGACTCAATCAATCAACTTGGTCGGAACTACCAACCTGTCAGCCTCACCTCCGTGCCTGGAAGATCATGGAACAGATCCTCCTAGAAGCTATGCTTCACCAGGGAGGTGATTCGAGACAGCCAGCATGGCTTCACCACAGGCAAGTCCTGCCTGACCAACCTAGTGGCCTTCTATGATGGAGTGACTACATCAGGGGACAAGGGAAGAGCTACGGATGTCATCTATCTGGACTTCCGTAAAGCCTTCAACTTGGTCCCCCGCAACATCCTTCTTTCTAAATTGGAGAGAGAGGGATTTGATGGGTCGACTGTTCGATGGATGAGGAATGTGTTGGATGGTCGCATCCAGAGTGTAGTGGTCAATGGCTCAATATCCAGATGGAGATAGGTGGCAAGTGGTCATGGACATTATTTTCATGCCTTACTTTTGGAAATGTGTTGTGGGACACTCACCAGCATTTTTATCTCTTATCTATCTTTGCAATGTCTCATTAGTTTCAATGCAGTATCATTCAAATTAACCTACTTTCCCAAAAAACGGCAAATACATTCTCCACATGAGCAAAGCAAGTGTTAATCAAGAATTCAGTCTGTGAACACGTCATGAAAATAAGAGTTTTGAGCGGCTCAGTAGACCTCATTCAAGTGCACAAATAGCTTTGAACAGGTTTGCCTTTACTTTGATCACTCCAGAGATGAGAAAATCATAGGAGATCTACAATGAATGCCCAGGAAAAACTGTGTTAGGCATATGCAGACTAACTATACCGCATTTTGCACTCATTTTCCTTTTTTAAAACACACCCTCTGGATGGTATTCCATCCCTCAGGGGTCTGTATTGAGACCAGTACTGTTTAATATTTTCATCAATGACCTACACAGCGGGACCCAGTGTAGATGATACCTAGCTGAGTGGGCCAATGTGAACTTCATGAGATTCAACAAAGACAAGTTCAAGGTCCTGCACATGAGCTGGGGCAAGGCCTAGTACCAATGCAGGCTGGGGGATCATGGGACTGAGAGCAGCCCTGACGAGAAGGACTTGGGGGTACCGGCTGATGAAAAGCTGTGCATGAGCTGACAATGTGCGCTCACAGCCCAGAAAGCCAACCATGTCCTGGGCTGCATCAAAAGAAGCGTGGCCAGCAGGTCGAGGGAGGTGATTCTGCCACTCTGCTCTGCTGAGACCCCACCTGGAGTCCTGCATCCAGCTCTGGAGCCCCCAGCACAAGAAGGACGTGGACCTGTTGGAGCGGGTCCAGAGGAGGGCCACAAAGATGATCTGAGGGCTGGAGCACCTCTCCTATGAAGAAAGGCTGAGAGGGTTGGGGCTGTTAAGCCTGGAGAAGAGAAGGTGCCAGGGAGACCTTATTGCAGGCCTTCAGTACTTAAAGGGGGCTCTGAGCAACCTGATCCAGCTGAAGATGTCCCTGGTCACTGCAGAGGGTTTGGACTAGATGACCTTTAAAGGTCCCTTCCAACCCAAACTATTCTATGAAAGTATCTATTGTTTCAATATTGCAAACTATGCATTCCAAGATTCAGATGAAAGAAAAGATGACAAGAAATGTCTGTTCTCACACTTTTTATCACTTCACCACAATTTGCCGCAGAATGTCTGTAACTTCCCATACCTGACAAGAGTAGAAATAATCAGCTTCAGGACTTTGCAGCACTCCCAGATCTATTTAAAATTCAAGATAAATTAAGGCAAGCTGGTGACGTATGTGTACCTTTTCATAGTCACTACAAAGTGCTTGTTATTTCTTTCACTTAAATCTTCCAGTAAAATGTGAAGTTTGACCTTTCTTCCACAAGAGCATCTCACAGCCAACTTTCCATTGCGTATCTTTAAATCTTTCTAATTAATCTTACCAACATTAGGTCCTGTACTGCAGCATCAAAACCAATTCACATAAAAGCCTAGTAGAAAGGTTAGGGGTTTTTGAGACTGCTTCAATTAACTTCTGAGCTCAGCAGAATACCATCTATCACAGCTACTTACACACATATCTTAGAGACAATCTCAGTAGAGTGAAATTCACTTATCAAGAAAGCTTTACCACGCTGCAAAACTGCGGCATGTTTTGAAATTTAGATTTGAGTATGTGCCTCTCCTCTTTACTTGCACTTTCATTACACACCAGATGGACCAAAAATCATCCACAATATTTAGACGTGCCGTTTAAAGAAACAAAAAGGCAATGTAAGTTCGGATTTAACCCATGACCTGCAGCTAGTAATTCTAAAGCTAACACTTTGAAAGACTTGCTATGCGACCTTGGGTAAATCACTTAAACTTTCTTTGTTTTCTTTTAACGCATGAAGCAAGGATTGTGATTATTGTGCTGTCTCCCTTTGCTCCTCAGAGAAAATCTATTGAGATTAATTAGTTAATATTTGCAAAATACTCTAAAAATAAACATACGAGATGATGTGTATTATAGCAGCCTTCATTTTTAAACTTTATCATATTTTTCTACATTATTTTTCCCCAATTCTATGAGCTGAAATTAATTTTTATAGCTTGTTAAAAAAGTGGAGTGGGAAGAAAGACAGGGAAAACTATGGAGCTGTTGTTAGCTGTTGTTCCCCCAGCTTTTTTTCACAATTCCAATAAACTATTTCAGCCATTTCATTAATAACTTCTTTGTTAAAACATCAAGGTAGGGAGGGGAGATGCATTCAACTTTCTATTTACAGATATTCATAAAATTCAAGCTTTGGTGATCTGAAAAGCACTTCCATAGACAAAAATCTAGGTAAAAGTTTGTTTTGGCTTATATGTCTAACCAACATGATTCACCATCACCACGGATGGTCTGAGTGATCCAGGTGACTGATCAAGATGACAAAGACTTTTGTCTTGTTCACTGGTAGAAAACAAGAACAGAAACTTCCAGTATGAAAATTGTTAGCTGGTTTGAAACTAATGTATACGCAAGCTACTAATATGCACATATAAGCTACTAAGTAGATTATTAAAGTACTATTTGCATTTTCACTTACAAAGACTTCCATAATGTTTCATAAACAAACTCAATTTGTGCCATACTTGGAAACCTTTAAAGCATTCACCTCTACTAATTATGTTGTCTGCAAAGTCACTTACTTAAGGCAACTGGTTCCCTAGCTGCCTTGATTCATGTAGAAATTAGATGAAGCAGATTTATAGCTAAAAAAATGTACTACCTAATATGTCTAAACATCAAGGAAACCAACGAAGTCATTTAGGGTTGGCAGCATTTTCCTCATACACTTGAGGAAAACGCTAGGCAAAAAGCCCATTTTAAGGTGATACTTTGTAGAAAAAAGATTGACAAAATGGGAGAAGAAAGTACGCTCTAAACTGACAGCAGTGTGTTAAATTGATGATTTTTCAAAAGCTGTCAAAATTTGTATCTCAATGTCTGCCATAAAAGTATCACCCTCAGCACAGATGTAGTACTTTGTTCATATTGCAATGTGAGGTATTATAAACAAATTGAGACTGTGTGCCACACAAAGAGAAATGTTGTTATCCTCTCTGGAAAAAAAAACAAAACCACAGGTTTTGACACTGACTTATATGAGTAACTAATGCTATGGTGTTTGTTGTTCCAAATACGTATTTATTACCTTTGCATGATCAATGCGAACAGAAAGCTCTTTAGACGCAAATCCACCAAAAATCAGGCTATGGACGGCTCCTATTCTTGCACAAGCCAGCATACAGTACACTGTCTGTGGAATCATGGGCATGTAGATGACTACACGATCTCCTTTCTTCACACCATGTCTGACCATGACATCAGCTAACTTGGAGACCTGTACTGACAAAACATTCACAACATATTAAAAGTTTCTCCAGATCTGCTGTAGCCCCATAAAAAACAACTTTCACACAACCAACAGATGCAGGACATTCAGGAGACAAGCCAGTATGATATAGAAAGTTGATGAAGGACACAATTCAAGTTCAATAAATCCAGGACAATTTCCTTTTTTCAAAAAACACCGTAATGTATTTTTCTTTCATAAAATGAGAATGGACCGAATGTAATTATTTTACACATTAGAGAAAAAAAAAAAAAATCACCAGTTTTCCAAATTTTTAAACAACATTCTAACTACTCCTACTTTTATCCAAGTAAGGGCTTATATTTCTCAATTTTAGCTTTTAAGAATGGATTGTAAACAGGACATTTCATAACGCAAATTCTGTCCTAACTAGCAAAGTTTGAAACACAAATCAACATGCAGAAATATCTTCTCTACTGCGGTGTTGTAAACGTCTCAGAACACAAGACAAGAAATCTTACACCCTGAACCAAATGTAAACACAAATTCAGAGAAACACATTCAGATTTAAGAAGTCATTTTTCCTCTTCATTTTCATTTTTGGTACTCAGAAGCCTGAAGACAGACTATGTATGGCAGCAAAGGACTGAAACTCAAGAAATGTGATAGATCAGCAGCAACGTCAACCATCTGTATCACCATGAGAAAATATTTATTACCTTGACAGTGTGTAGTATTCTGTCACAAAAATAGTATTGAATATTTCATTAGTACACCAGAACAGACATTTTACCACACAGTAAGTTCTGTTAAGAGTGAGCACGGGAGTCTGTGAGAAGCACTGTGCACTTGTCCGAACGTGCTTGTTGCAGCATGGAAATGTGGCATCTTCTGAAGGAAAAGTAAATTACTAATTCCTCAAGAGAAACTGAACAAACTCAGCTGTCAGAGGTTTCTCGAGTTCCAGAGGGTGACAGCTGTGTAGCACTCAGTATCTAAACCTGCTCACTGCCTTTACATTTTTCAGACATCAGTGTGTAGAGGTGTATAAGTAATGAAAGTGAAACTGCATGTAACTGTGCATAAAACATAGGCTAATAGGTTTACAGGCAAAACTACAAACTAACAAACAATGTAGACTTATAAGCTAATAGGAAACAGGATGGAAGTAGAAACATCTCAGGAAGTCGTGAGCTGGAATACTCCATCAGTATGGTTACACACCCGTCAGATGTAACAAGAACAGGAGTTTTGCTTGCAATAGTTTTACATTAGTGACAAGACTAAAAAATCGAGTTCTCTAGGAAGTTCTTGGGATATCTGAAGACATAAAAATCTAAGTTCAGAATAAAGGAGTTGCTCTGTCTTACAGGGGAACTCTTACATACAGGAGTAAAACTCTTAAAAAGAGGTTGCCATTCACTAGAACATACCACAAGAAGTACTTCAAGGGGGCCTACAGGAAAGATGGGGACAATCTTTTTAGCAAGGTCTGTTGTGACAGGACAAGGAGTAATGGATTTAAACTAAGGGAGGGTATATTCAGATTAGATATAAGGAAGAAAATTTTCATGACAAGGGTGGTGAAACACTGGAAGAGGTTGCCCAGAGAGGCAGAGGAGGCCCCATCCCTGGAAACATTCAAGGCCAGGTTGGACGGGGCTCTGAGCAACCTGGTCTAGTTGAAGATATCCCTGCTCACTGCAGGGAGGTTGGGCTAGATGACCTCTAAAGGCCCCTTCCAACCCAAAGCATTCTATGATTCTATGAATAAATACAAACAGTTTAAACATTCTAATTTCTTTCACTATTAATGTAATATGAATCTACTTGTATATTAATTCCTCACATCTTACAGGCACTGTATTATTCCTTATTTATTCATTGTATCACAATAGATAAGGTTTCAAGTGAAATTTAGTCTCAAGAAAGACTCTTTTCTTCCGGTACTATCAGACTGGAGAGAAAGGAAAGTGGAGACAAACTCCTGAGAGCTGCACATAGATGTTGTCTGTGTAACAGAAAACACCCAAGCTTCTGAGGCACCAAGAGAAGTTTTCAGTGACACAGAAAATAATGCAAGCAATAGGAGCAGCCTAGGCCAGTAATGCACATTCTGCAAGCAGGACAGGAGGGAAGGACCCTCTTTTTCAAGGATGAGCTAGTCAGGACGGTTGAATTTTTTTGAAATGTTTTACTTTCATTTATATTATTCATCACATTCAAGTTTTCTCTATTTAAAGAGTTACCTTATTCCAGTTTAATATTTCAAATTCTAGTACCATTGTTACTTTCTCAGATTTGTAAGCTCTTTCTTTTATGGTCATATTCAAGAAAACTCGGGGCAATTGCATCCAATCCCAGAAGCCTATCTGATTCATATACTGAGGAGGATAATATAGCATTACTCACTCCTCCTCTCTTCAGTGGAAACACATGTTCAGACTTTCAGCAACCTGAGACAGTAACATCCAGAAGCTCCAGATGTATCTGAGCTGCGTTTGCATTAAATACACAGCCCACCCACAATCAAACTATGCATATTTCTACACTTCTGCCTGAGGATTTAAGAAAATGGAAACACAGAAGCCCCAGGAATGCATGCTTGCATCAGAAGATAACAGCACAGCTTCCATTTTCTATAAACACTGCGTAAATCCCTGTTATTTTCCAACGCAAGAAAGAATATGTTTATAAGTAAAGTCATCACCATATCAAGCTGAAAACTCTCACAAACTATGATGCATATGATTTCTTTGTAACAGAACTCTTATATTAAATGTTACTGATTATCAAAGGAAAATATCTTTAATTCTAGCCCTATTAATACATACCAATACTCTATTGAACTGACATATGCTGTCAAAACCCAACAAAAATCAGCAAGGCTTGGCATGTACGCAACTAGAATTTATTGCCATACCACTGGCATTTACAGTCATTTCTAGATAGGATTGGTGGAAGTAATTTTAAGTAATGATAACAACTATATTTCCAAAGGTAAATTCCTTTTCTATACTTCCTACTGTGAAAACATTAAAATCTGCAAACTCATTGTAACACAGAACTAAGATCATCTTATCTCAAGGAACTGAGAAAACTAATCCTTATCTTTGCTGCTTGTGAGACTCTCAAGTAGATTGTTGACAAAAAGGCCAGAGGCAATGAAAACAATATTTAATGAGTACTTTTATAGCCAAAGTGTAGATAGTAGGCAATAAGTAGTTAAACACAATGGAGGAGTATTATTATTCATTGTTATTATTTTATAATTATTAATGAAGATGAAAAAGACAATGTTTGCCTGCTACAGGAAAAAAGCATCATTTAAAGATCATAATTAGTAATTTTGTAATAGAAGACTCCTAGTGCCTGTATACAAGCTATGTAACTTTGGTACTTAGCTGTAGGAGGGAGCGAGTGAAGAAATCTGCATGTACTTGAGTCATTATTATTGAAATCTACCATAGGTAAATTGTACTTAAAGCAGAATATATGTAGCATGCTGCAGACAGGAACCACGTGTCTTCCATGCAAACCTAGTAATCACTTGTCTGCACTTAACCTCCCCATTCCAGAGAGTTTAATGTCACTGAAGACAATAACTAAATACAATATATGGGTGCCCTTTCCCTCATCCTTCTGACAGCCAGGGAACATTTGGACTACATAACAAAATACTGTCTCTATCCACAACTATTTGGAAGACTAGGGAACATCATAAAGCAGGTTTACACTGCCCTTAAGATTGATGTGGAAACCCTGAAACATCCAAGCAATGACTCTTTCTAAAAAGATGGGGGAGTGAGCAGTGACATTTCATTAAACTGTTAAAAGCCATGAAACCTTCCACTTTGTTACAGTGTGCTGTCATTTATGATTTACATTGACAGCATACTTTATCACTCAAGATTTTACAGTTACTATTTTCCTACCAGCATGCTCTTTCTCTGCTTTTCTTCAAGTTTAAGATTGCTCTATCACTTTATTTGACACTTCAGTAATAAAAACACTTGAGACCAAGTGATATAATAAGAAACTCAAGTAGGCTTTCAGCTTTGAAGAACTAGGCTTAAATTACACTTCTATCAAACGCAAGCCACCAGTGAGCATGGCTTTATTCTTACTCAGCCACGAAACAAATACTACACCTGTATTAGCAGTTCAGGTTTGGAGCAATACTGCAGTTCCAAAGTAAATCACCTGGCTATCCCTAGTGGTTACAAAAGTCCATGCCAAAAGGATTCTTCTTAAAAGATATTAAAACAGAAATTTCACTCAGAACGCTCAAAAGAGGAATTTCAGACCCTCTTGGGTTGAACAGCGACTGGGTCTCACCAGTGTCGAGTCCTTCAATGCAAGCTAAACACAAAAGGGTTCTTCAAATACCAAGAGCTCCTGAAACACCTCGAAGTGCATCTCATGGTGTAAAGAGAGCCACATGACAGGCGCATTCCCCAAAACCAAAGGCAGCAAGTCACCTTATGCTCTTCAGCTTCTCCACTGTGCAATTTTTCCAAGACTACTAAAGAAAGTACTCCTTCCTACTTTCCCCCACTCTTAGATGAGTTTCTTCACTCTTCGATTACTCTTTTTTTGTTTCCTCCTTTCCGCCACTATCACAGACATTTTGAAGAAATCGGCAGGGGAGGGAAGAGCACTCTGCCAAAGCCACTGCGCATGCACAGACATCCCAAGGACATCCACATACTTGGTCCAAGGATCCACAGTCCAGGGAAAAACATGGCAATGGTGCTGCACACATCTACACGCCTGCAACCTCCAGAGGACCCCTGCAAAACACCACGCAGAAACATCGGCTTGGCCCACTCTCTGCCAGGGCAGGCAATGGGAACTGCAAAATCAGTGGTCCGGATGCCCACCTGAGTAAGTGTGCATACTCCTTTCCTATACATGTTTTGAGCATGGGACTATGTTTAGGAGGTTTCTGGTAGAATTAGGGCAGTGGTCACAGAGCTGTGGAAAGACCGTATGAGTCCCCAGCTTGATGGTGAGAGCTGCTTTGC